AACGTCCATGGAGAAGCTCGGGCCCCCCCAATAAAAGGTTCAAGGCTTGAAAAACTAACCAATCTACAGCGAGCCCGCTCCTGGCTCTCTTGAGAAAACTGGAACTGGCATACTGCAAGCAAACCGTCACTGCTTGGACCAGCTCAGCCACGCCAAGGCCGTCTGAAGCTGCTCTGCTTGCTTTGCCAGCTTCTGCAGCCTGCAGGCTAAACTGAACAGATGGGTAGGCCTAAGGCTGCGATTGGTCACCATGTGGAATGGCCTCGTGCTGTTGCTTTTGTGCTTTCTTTCTCTTCTTGTTTTGGCCTCTCTCTCTCTCTCTCTCGCTGTTTCTGTCATGGGGCGCGAGGGGGCAAGCCCCTCGGGCAGTCCGCGCGCCCCCCTCGTCTTGTGGGAGACTTGAAACTCGTAGGTGAGGAGGGGTTCTGCAGGACCCCTCCCCCTTCACTGAACCCGGCATGCCTTGGTAGCATCGAACAGCATTGATATGCCCCTTTTCCTTCAGCTTGGGTTCAGTTACTGTATATCTCTCTCTCTCTCTCTCTCGGCTTCCCTCCCTCCCCGTCTCTCCTTATCACCGAACCTTCGTACAGATGATATACTCTTCCTGTTGACCCCCGATCTATTGAATCCAGTGCGCTCACATTACATCGAATGTGCTCTTAGAGTAGCGAAGAATAAGGGACAGTATTTCAACAATTTCTGCTGCATCAATCACATGTATGACTCAAAGGATCCGGACACTTGAAGGACAGTGCCTGGTTGCCTGCACAAAACAAGTCGCGAAGCAAACTCAGTCATGGTCAACCTGTCAGAACAGGAGGCCACTGCAGCGAAGCCGCTCTTCCATGCGTTGCTCCTTTGCTGCACGTCGCGCCGCGGCGAGTTGCGCCAGCTGCATAGCTGCATCTGCATTCAAAAAAAGGTAGGAGAAGAAGCCAACTTTGTGTGCTGACCAAGGTCTGAAGGGTCGGTCTAAGGATCGAATTGATGCTTCCGCTCGCACGGACAGTTGTGCAAAGACCGCACCGCCAATTGAACCGCGACTTGTGTTGAAATATACTCGGCCCGGTGCCTGACTTCGCAACCCTCAGCCCTATAGCTCACACTCCTCTAAGCATGAGCCTCAATCCAGCACTGAGGCCACAGAAAACGCCGAATACTTATTATGCCATGCCAAACAAGCCTTTAATGCCCAGCCAACACAATTTTTGACTTCTGCCTTCGGTACGTGTATCCAGAACACCAAGAGACAGCCTGCAGGAAGGCCCGCTTCTTCGACGGCAGCCCTTACCTCGGGAACACCCTCGAGTGCTTGGCTTTCGGGACGAATTGAGGATTCTGACCTTAGCAGGATCAGCGTCTCCATTTTGCTAGATCTCCATCACATCAGAAGGGGGATTCTGGCTGGCATTGGAATCTTGCTGCAAATCCAGTTCAAGGACCCTCAAGACAATTGGATGAATCTGCTGTGCAGCTATGTGTTAGTCGCTTCGCCAAGGCCTGAAACCTGACTTGGGGCTTGCCATGCTGAGCTGAAGAGCCTCATCTCCATGTTCTCCGGACACAGGAGGAAGGAAGCTCTTCCGACGCACTCCTCCCAATGGTGCCATGTGGGTCAGGCGGGGTCTTGAAATGCAGCAATTCCGAACACCACAGCCCTAGTATTCTGGGCTTGTGTAGGCGAATCATGCCAAATCTCCCCTTGGCAGCCCAGTCCTGCTTCCGCAGTACCAGGTGGCCTGGGGTGGGTTGGTACCACCCTAAAGAAGAAAATGCTGCTTCCTCATACATGCACTCGGCCCCAAACGCTTACATCTGCAAACCTGTCCGAATGCAACAAATGCATGGGTGTCAACGCCAAGGCTCAGCCGGCCCGAAGCAACAGCTTTTGCCAACAGTTTCTCTCGTATGTCCTGAGCTAGGGTTTAGGGATTCTTGTTCGTGTTCTGGTGGGGTGGGGTTCAGTAATAAGGAACTCGACCACACGGGGTTCAAGCCTGCTGCGCCTGGCATCCGGGTCTGTTCCGTAGTGGCTAAGTGACATCTCTCGTGTTTCCAGCCCCACCTAAAGCACAGAGCAACAATGCTGCCGCGACGGAGAATATTTATGTTGTGTACAATAATTGGTGTTCGCAGCTGCCTCCAAACTTCAAGATTATTGCGACGACCGCTACCAGGCCCCAAAATGTAGGTTGTATGGCTATGCTGTTATGGTTCCACATGTGGCAGGGTCGGGAAACTAAACCGCGTCATCCTTTTTGGGCGGGCTTTTGGGGGTCTGCAGGTAACAGGAGCGCCCGGCGCAGGCAGGTAGGCATATCTCCACCGTCATGCTCCCACTGCAACAGTGACAAGTCCGATGCCTTCGGCCCAAGATTCAAGACCCCACACGCTAAGATCCTGAGAATCGTCGGGCAAAGTCCGTTGAGATGCCATGCCAACTGGCTTTTACCCGCTTGCCCAGCAAACCTGATTACGCATGTTGGGGATTGGGCTACAAGCGCCCAAGCGTCGTCCACATTCGCTGCCCGAAGTGGCGAAGCCTCCGACAAATCCCCATAGAACACCGGATCGACTGTAATGTTTGCAAGTAATTTACTCCAGGCGGGGATGCCACACCAGCGCGCAACTTGACCCTGGTCGCTCTGTGCTAATTGAATTGCCTCGAAAGCCAACGGTTTCCCACGTGCACATATCGCAACTTGATGTTGTGGTGCTGTTTCGGGCCGGGGAAGGACACTCACAACGACTGACTACTGGCAGGGCATTGCATCTCTCGAGAAAACACAATCAAACTGAATGTGAAACAATGATACAGTGGAAGGAACTGTCCCCGTTTGACCCCATATGGCAAACATCTGGACTCGCCGACTTGCCGCTGCAAGGTACAATGTAAGCTCGTGCGCCTGCAAAGCGCACAGGCGGAAAGGCCGACCGCAACATGGCACCCCTTTAAGAGAGAAAGGGCTGGTCAAACCCCAAAACTAAAACCCCCTTTCCCCTGGAACCTAACACCCTTTAGAGCCTTTACGGCCCTTTTTCGGGAAGCATCCAGCCTTGGCCGGTTCGCTACCGGACTCCGGGGCCTGGCCGGGGCTACAACCCTCGAGAAATGGCGAAGGAAGAGAGCGAAAAAACTCACGTGTGCATTTGGGACATGTTTCGGGCTCGCCGCATCACATTGTCACCGCGCACTTGAGGAAACTCTCCCAAGATGTGCAAACAGACATGGGCAACTTCAGGGGCTGCGTTTGGGATCCCTAAAGGCCGCAAGAAGCCTGCAATTCATCTCAAAATCTGCTCCTTCTCGCGAAGCAGGCCGCCTTGCCGGCGTCGGGCGCCTTGGCAGTCGCAGCCTTCTCTTCGGCCTGGGCAAGTTTCGCCTGAAGAGCAGCCTCGGCTGTGAGCAAAGTATGAGACCCTTGCAACTCATTTCCGGACTCTCGAGGACTCCAACCGACTCCAAGCCTTCAGGGTCTAAGCAGAAGGAGAGTACAGGCATCTGTGGGCTAGGTTGAGATTCACACCAAGTTGGACTCCAGAAACCCTACTCTAAGACTACTCTACGTGGACCCTCTCACTATGCGTGGACTCTGTGGGCATCCGCTACTCTCGCCATCAACTTCGCAATCACTCAGGCAGCTCCAGATGCCCCAGTTCAAGTCGGCAAGGTGCTTGCGGCGTCCCCACAAGAAAAGTGTACTCTTGAGGCCTTGAGGGGGGCAGCTTCGGGTGAAAGCTGAAGCCTTAAACCCCAAACTGCAAACCTCTAATCCTGCAAAGCCCTGAGGACACTGAACCTCGGCCGTGGCACAAAGCGCTTGCGGAAATTGCTCCCTAGCTCGGCCACGTCCGCAGCCATGCTAGCAGACCTGGCATCAAGGTCTTGGCTTTCGAGCCTCACCGGTTCATAGAGGTTTGATTTGCGGCCTTGAGGTTTAGCGTTGATGTCAAGCCACTTCTACAAACTGCTGGCAAATTCCACATACCCGTCACCTAAACGCCCATCCTGAAGAAGGGAGATGTGCCGAATTATGGACTCATTTGAGCTCCAAGCCGATAGTGGCAACCTTGAAAAATGCGGCACCGGCGCACCCTTGTCAACGCATGCGTTGGTAATTGCATTTCCTTCCTTTTTCGGTTCAAGGTTAATCCAGACACCCTACACAACTCCGGGGAAGAGAAGGGGAAACGCCAGGTTTTGTAAACCTCGGGGGAAACGCCGGGTTTTTTTAACCTCGACCAGCACTTTGCGATAGGGAGCTGCAGGAAGCAAGTGCGAAATGTGCAACGCCAAGAGCCTTGGGCCTAAAATCCTTCTGTTAGGGCTGGAGGGATTCAAGCTTGAAGGAACTTACTCACTCCCATGGGCCCACGACTGAAACACTGCACTTCTCAATGTGAACCCTTCAACATCTTAGCTTCGGGCAGGCGCCTCGGGTGAGCTTGAGATGACCCCCCCAACACTCCAAAAGAACGCGTTCAGCAAAAGCAGTCGCCTGTGCCAGTGGGCCACCCATCTTTAAGGCAGCCGCATGTCCATGGGAGTCGGCCGGAACTCTGACAACCCTGAACGCCAAAGTCTGGCGTTCTATCATACGGTCCGTGTCTCCGACCTGCTCAATCTTGGGGTATCACAAATCGTGCCAGCATCATCACAAAGCAACAGGGCAAAACCTCGGCGATCCACTTCTAATTTTTGTTGTTACAAGCAAAGCTTTTGAACCCAGCCTGTCGGGACACCCTCCATGAACAACTTCGAGCTCTCGCATGTCTTGGCCACATGTTCTCCATCTTCATATATCTTCATAAGGCCTACCCCAAGCCCAAACGCTGCGAGCGACATGTGCCCCATCGACTTCAGAGTCTAACAGCCTACAAGTCAGGTGTCTGGCGAAACTACACAGTGTACCGCGCTGGAGTTCAGGGCTTCGGTCTCAGACATCCTGGTCTTGTGGGAAAACATACACGCGTCTTCATAGTCTGGTGTTCCGGGCGGTTCGTACTCGACGTCGTCGCCATCGGGACCTCGGGCCGATTGGCCGTGGCATCAATCGCCTAGTTGAAGACGCCCCTGACGTAAGAATGAATCCTCTCGCATGCTCAAGCTGCAATGACACCCCGATTCCTGATGAACAGGCAGGTTGTTGGGGCTTCGTTCTAGCCGGAGAGACAGCGTCCAGTGCGAGATCCCTGTGCTGAAAAACCTGATTCCAATAAATCATGCACATCATGCTCTCTCCCTAGATGTATGTCTGATTCAGACCCCCATGCCCTTAGCTCCACCATTGCATTCTGAAAGTCTTTGCGAGTTGATGACCCTCTACAGAAAAAAATGCTGAGCCCTCATGCTGAGCCCTGCTGTGAGTGTTGGCATAATTTGTCGCTACATTTTTGGTGGAAACATCTTTGTTATCACCGTGTCGCATTTTCGCTTGCTCTAGTCGTTTTGCTTTTGTTTTGATTTCGATTTTGGTTAGGAATCTCTGGGTCGGGCCCATGCCATAGCCCCGCCGCCCAGAAGCCCAAGGCCTGACTGCAAGTGCCATACGGAAGGAATGTGCCTCAGCACCTGCCCAGGCAATTCATCTAGGTTCTGGTCAGCCCACACCCTTATACCACCACAACATGGCGTCCCAAACGGCGAAAGCCTTGAAATGTGGCTCTAGCACCGGCTTCTGGGAGCCCAGCAGCACTCCGGCGTGTACAGAACTTTCTCTTCAATCTCAGGAGGCTTGAGGGGTTAGGTTTAGAGTCTAGAGCCACAGTTGTCAGGGTGGGGCCGAGCCAGGGGTTCAAAGCCATGGTCGGGATCTGGTGTCCAAAGGTCACAACGCGCAATGCCTCTAATACTGACGCCATTGTTCCGAAACATGACACTAACATGCAAGCTCATCTGCTCGTGGCACTTGTCGCTGGCATGGAGTCTTCAGGGCTAAAGGTCAGGCAGGCTCACATGGAGGGGAGAAAGAACCTCGAACGTCATCTCACAATGCTCGGCCCATCTGCCATCTGGTCCGTTAATTGCATTTGGACTGCACAGGGGGAAACGACTTTATCTCAGAACAAAGAACCAAAACGGCTTTAAGGTCTCGGCATTCGTGAAGGTCATTAGCTCGGCTTCCATGGTTTTGACCTGGGCGCAGAATGGGCAAGTAGAGTGGGTGCTAGCAACCTGTTTCCGCAGCTGCTCCATGTCTTCGGACAGACGAGCAGAAACACTACAGCTGCCAGCCGCTCAGAGACAGTTGTGGCAGGAACACTCTGCCGCACTTAAGTAAAACGTTGGCGGCGGTAGGTCACAGGCGCACACTATACGCATGCCAGCCGAGTCCCCGAAACCTGCAGAAGTACGTGGGCCTGGGGCCTTGACAATGCTAATGGCTTTGGTCCCATCGCGGAGCATGCCTTCGAATTCATTGAGGAAGTCCTGCACAGTATGGCTGCAATCACAGGTGAGGCATACAGAGCAGCTGTCCCCGCCAACCCTCCAACAAAAGCCCCAAACCGAAACAAACAATCCCCCCAGACCCCGAAACCCCCCACACAATCCCTAACTCCATCAACCCTGAACCCCTGGTCAACCTGCGGCTCGGGTTCGAGGTAGATCTCGTCGTTGTCAACCTCACGGGACGCGAGATCTCGGCAGTGATCGTTCGCCCCTTCAACCTTGCCTAGGGTGGTTCCTTTTCTTGCTGCCTTGCAAGGGGGACTCTGTGTTGCCACACCGCCAAGCTCACACTCACGGTGCACTGCGAGCAACACGGGGGAAAAGCCACGCACGAGTCGTGCTTTCAAAGTATAGCAGAAGGAACACATCACCAATGTCCACGACCTTGCAGAGGAATTACTCCTGTGGAAATAAGAGCGAAGTGCCCTTCCTAGACCCTGTGAGTTATGGCTTTTGAGGGTTACCTGGGCTGTAATTGAGTGTTCAACGGCTTGGGGCCGCGACACCTGGAGGTGTGTGCACGACAGTTCAGGGCTTCAGGAGGTTGGGGGAACCCTGACCACCTAAGCTGCCACAACAGCACGCCACACGAAGCCCCACCTCGAGATCGAGATAGATCAGCGGCGTGGGCCGCTTCGACTTCTCATCGGGTATGAAAGTCTGCCTTGCAAGAGCTGCGGGCAGTTAGGGCCTTAGTCTGCGCAAACAGCTTTCGGGACCATGTGCCCCCCCCCCCCCCCCCCCCCCAGGGTTTTCGAGCAACCTGGAGGCCTAACTGAACCTGCAATGACACGTCTGCCCAGCTAGGTTAGCAAACCCAGAAGAGGCTGCCCTGTTCGCAAATGCCAAGAAGCAAGAAACTGCACCAATTTTCCATTGAATTCTGGACAAACCTTGGCCGGGCTGTTGGGCTGCACGCTACGTTTGGATGGAGCAGTGTTGGTCCAGCATCTTGTTAGAACCCACACGCTCCAACCTGACCTAACCTTACATTGCTGTAGTGCGTTTTGATGGCTACATGCGCACCGCGCTCAGCCACATCAACGTCAACAGCATGCTCGTGGGGAATTCGTCTTTGTGTCGTCACTTTATTCAGAACGAACTCGGCATCGACATTTTTTGCATGCTGCACCCCGGCACCTGGAACTACAGTACGTAAGGCATCAGTGTCAAAGCTGCAGCATCGCACAGCTTCAAGAGTTGAGAGGCTATCGTCTGCCTGCTATGCGTAAGCATGCGTAGGCGTCCTGCCAGCGAAGCTGCGAATTGATGATGAGATCCTTGCAGCACAAGTGGCTAGATCTGGTTCAGCACAGGCTGGCATGAACATCTCATGTGCTGAACCGATAGTGCCAGCTGCAAGAACCACCAGTACACATGGCATGCCGCATGATTCCACCATCATACCTGAGCCAAGTATCCAATTTGCGAAGCAAGGCGTGCCTGGGCATGGGCAGGATTCGGAACCCTTGACCCTAAACCCCCCGCCCGCCCAAAAAAAAAGAAGGAAAAGCAGCTTCACAAGTGAACTTCAAACCCGAAACCTCTCCTATAATCAAAAAAGCAGGCCGAGGTGCAGAGGGCTCTGGACATGCTTCTCCGTGTCATCGCTGAAGAAGTTGTAGTCGTCGGACAATTTGTCCAAGACCTCCCATTAAATGCCATATAAGTTGTCATAAACCAACAATAGGCAGCTGAGAGCTTCGGGCATCGGGGGGAGCTTCCGACTTGATTGGCTTCAGGCTGCAGATTTTCAGAGGCGGGGGGCGGCGACCCGGTGGCCCTACGGAGAAACTCCCAAGCCCAAAGCGTTTTCCCTTCCCTTTTTTGCATCCGGGCTATGATGTCCTGGCCGGAAAGTCTTAGCAACACTCGCAGACCCTTTCCTACTTCTGGGTTCTGAAGCGCTTCAAGACCCTAAACAGGTTGTGTCAGTTCGGAGGGTTCAGAGTTAGTCTTGGGAGGTTTGAGGGGCAGGGGTGCTCGCAGCAACGCCTCCGCGATGATGTAGTCGCGCCATCCCCTCTTGAGGTGGGTGGTTATTCTTTCGATGTGGTTCTTCTGGTGCTCAAACATGTCCTGCGAGATCGAATTGCCAATGGCTTCGGGCTCGGACGGTTTGGGGGGGGTACATGGGAGATGTACTCTCCAAGGGTCCTACATCCGGTCCTCTAGGCCTAGCCGTTCAATACACTCTTGGATTGAGGTTTGTCCTTCCAAAAGGATTCCGGAGGGTCGCTTAGGGCTGATCAAGAGATGCTGTAAGCATCAGAATGGCCCGAAACCTGTAAGACTCAAGCCGTATACACCATGGATTCCTAATTCGTTCTTGAACTTACTCCCAAGTATTTTTCGAACCTGTACTGAGGCCGAGGCGTGCGACGGGAAAGGGTTTGCGCTGACGCTCTCCAAGCACTGCCACACCTGAAACCCAAAACCCCCGTGTGGCCTGCGGCTCGAAGATAATCGAGTCGGCGTTCTTGATGAGCTTTTTCTGCCGTGTCACATCCACACCCCCAACCCTCGTGGTGTCGATCAACTCCATTCCTTGGTGTAGGCTTTGCGCTCGAGGGGTTAGGGTATAGGCAGCGGACTTTAGGGTGCTGATTCCAAGTAGGTATAACTAGGCATAGTCCCTCACCTATACCCCTGAAGCCCGTTCATGTCTCCACCCATAATGAAGAAGGGAGGCTGGCGACCTCATTGATGTAACGCCGCCACACCTGCTTGCTTGGCGGTTTGGGCGCGTTGTGCGGCAGGATCGTTCCTGAAGCCTGGTTTTTTTTAAAGCCATTTTGCGCATACCGCGCACCAACGGGGCCACAACTCACTCGTTACCCCAAATCTTTGATAACCCTAAATCGCCTGGCATGTGATGGCAAAAATGCCGCTGCTCAGGAGGGGCATCTCCTGCATCTCCGCCACGAGCTGCTGCACGCGCATCTGCGGCCGACTTTGGGGGGTCTCAGTCGGTCTCAGGTTCAAGAGCATACAGAGGCGGATGACGACTTAAGGGCGCATGAAGGAGCTAACAAGGAGCACGCCCATGCTTCGAGCCCTTTAAGATCAAGCCGCCTTGCGCCAGGGTGCCAGGAAGAAAGACTACAAACTCGTTTATGCTCAACGACCCCACACTGACTTGCCGTAGGAAGAGGCAAGGTAGCTACTCGGTCGCTGTCACCTCTCCCTAAGCCTGCCAAACGCGAACAAACCCGTCGATAGCCTCTGGTCTCGCGTGTTCCACAAGGCCCGACTCTGGGCACGGTGTGGGGAGGAAGCCTCAGTTGGTTTCCAAGCGCGCCGGGTCTGTCTGGGGTTTATTTTAAGGGCTTGGCGGTTGGCTTGAGCTAGATGTTTTGGATCCGAAGTCTAGAAAGTAGTAATAGGTTGAAGGCAAGTTGAGCCCCAAACAGCGTGCCAGCCAGGGAGCTCTGCATCACAGGTGCAAACTTCAAGGAGAAGGTGTCGGACTCGTCTGGAAGGTAGGCTTCCTTCTGAGAGCCACTCCCGCGCTGGTCTTAAATCTGTCGTGCCAGGATGATTCATGGGTTTTGTAGGGATTTCTGGGGCCATTTTAAACACCCTCATCTCACACAGCCAATGATACGGGATCTGGGGAGGGGGCCCATCCATTTCTCAATCTTTCTGATCCTACTTAGTGACTTAGTGGGATCGCTCGTATTTGTAGCTGCTGGCTGCTGGAGCCATGAAAAGCATGTGGCGCGAACTTGAGAGTCACCTTCTGAGCGACACATGTCAGGGCCCGCCACAGATAGCTGGATTCCCAACCTCTCGCCCCCCCCCCCCCACCCCCCCACAATGAAGCCTAAACAACAAATCTTGCAATCCTTGGTGCCCATGAGCGGTATCAGCTCCACCTTGACATTAAACCTCGGATGGCGCTTTGAATCTATGGAATTGAGGAAGGCTTGGGATGTGGCTTCCGATCCTGAGGGCATCAGGGCTTGTGGGCGCCTACGGCATGCAGTAAAATTCCGGCCGAGTAAGATTCTAGCATTACCAGGGATCAAACGTCACAGAGGGGATGTGCCTAGACTGCGGGATCTCGGCATGCAGCTCTGGGCCACGAAGGAAGTCAAGTCACGATGAATGCCCTGAAGTTGGTGTAAGCAAAGTCAAGTATGTCAAGTATCTCCAACAAAATGACGCACATCAATTGGGACCTTCCCCAAGAAATTCCTAGGTCAGGGCAAGCGACAGTTTCATCGAGAGCATGTAGTTCCTTGGTAGATTGGAAACCAACGGTCAAACACCCGAGAATTGAGCGGAATCTGTCAATGGCCTGGGAGAGCCCTACATCGACTGACGCCAGCAGACTTCCAGTCCGAAGGCTGCAGTCCCAGCGAAGACTTCATACGCCCAGAAGGCACACAAAACAAGGAGTACCACCTGGTACCTCCACTACTCCGGCCGAGGTTCTCCTCGACCTCTGCCATCAGCTCACGGATGGTGCTCGCGTGGCTGTTCGGCTCGTCAAGGCTGCACTTCTCGAGACCTCCAGTTTGAACGGGGGAGCTTCTCACTGGGCCTTTGGCCGGCAGCGTCGCATGCATGATTTTCTTCTTTTTGGGACGAGTGGGGCGACTTCGTTTAAGGCTCTCGCAAGAGCTTCTGTAATTAACTGCTCATGGGCTGTGCAGTCTCTGCTTCAGAACGGTGGAGGTGTCACAAACCTGGGGCTCTGCAAGAACTTGCTCGTTGCTCGAGAAGCGCATGGCAGCATGCAAATATGAATGTCAACAAGGAGGCCATAGATCCTAGCAAACCCCCGGACAAGGTGCAGGATCTGATGAAGAATTCCTTCATCGAGCGCGAAAAAGGGGTGACGAGCTTGTCGTCCTCCAAAGACAGAAAGCTACGCAGGGCGTCATAAATATGTGTTTGGAGAGGCAAGAACTAAGGATCAAACATCCAGAGCGGAGGCATTGTGATGTGTAGATGCGGCTATACGTTGAGGTCAAGCCACCAGGAGGTACGTAAACGCCAAAAAGTTGGAACATCCTTGTCTCCATACCGTCCATACCCCAAAAGGTATACTAAAGGGAATCCCGGCTCTAATCATCCTTAGACCATGTTCCAACTTTCTGGAGTATACTGTAAGGAGGGGAGCCAAGCTTGCGCCTCCCCCTCCCCCAACAGCTACCCCCAACATCCTTGTGCTCGATGTAGTCGATGAATGCCTCCTGCAGTTCGCACCATGCCTGTTTGCTCAGAGCTTCTCAACAAGGTAGGGCCAAGCTCCGAGTGGCCATTAGGGCATTCAATTAGAGGTTTTTTGAGCTATGTGAGTTGTAGGAGGTTTCAGAGGTCTTTGTTGCACAAGCTCGAGGGAGCTGCTGTGTGACAGATGTAGGGCTCAGGGGCGGGGCTTTGCAGATCCGGGGGTTGTGAATGGAGAGCCTGATGGGAAACAGCCCAACATCAAACACCCTCTGACAAGAAAGAACCCCTCAATCCTTCTCATTAAACCCTCACCAAACCCAATCACCAAATCACGCCCTACAATCAGGCATAAAGCTTTGACAAGATTATGCAAAATCATTTACGAAAATCTTGGGGTATCAGCGCCCACCTTCCGACCCCGGCACGTCTCCACGCGCTTCTCGAAGTTCGTCGGATCTTCAGCATTGAATCGAAGGGAGAGGCCTAGACCAGATGAAGACGCAGTTTGGGTCAAGGGCCTCTAGATTTTGCCTGTTCGTGGGTTTAGTACTGCGAGATTTGAACTGGGTTCAATTGTGATTCGTTTCGAGAGGAACCGGGAACTGAAAAAAGACCTGGTTTTCTGTCGCCGCTCGCCGAAGGTTTAGGGATGTCCAACGCCTAGAACTGAACTGAAGTTCCCAGAAACCTTCCACGAAGATTCTGGCCCACAACTCGGTCGCTGAAGTTGGCCGCCCCCTGTTCCGGGCCAAGTCGCGCTTCACCTTCTTTAGGGATGCGTCCTCCATCTCCACAATGTATCCTCAGCAGAACGCTTCGGAAACCGTTTGGCCCTGGGGATGGCTGTGGGTCTCAAGTACATCTTCGGTCCGACACTCCAGGCTTCTTACGGTCTGAGGGGTTCTGGGGATTGCTGCAAGAGTCCGAGGAGGAGCCTTCTGTGCCTTGGCACGCTGAGAGCTCCAGATCCCATTCTCAAGAAACTCGCCTCGCCAAGAGTCTGTTGATGGCTTCTTCATAGCGAAGAACCCAACACGGAGCCATGATCCATTTCTTGGCCTCAGATAGAAACTGAAAACCCTGCTCCGCCCCTGGAATTCCGGCAGCCGAAGGGTTAAGGGGAATTAATGGTGCTCCACATCCATGCTGAAGACTGCACGTGACCTGAACAAACGAAGCACGCTACCAAAGCTTCCCCCCTCCCTGCAGCCAGAAGTGCTTTGTAGTGTACCACACAAGCCTGCGGTCTGCTTTCATCCTTTTTGACCTGTCGAAGCAAGCGTGGGTGTAGCTGCTCACTTCTATTCTTATCTTGGTCCGTCGGTTGACACCCTCTGCATCGTTTAAGACGGCTGCCAGGTGGGGTGCATTTCAAGTACACGGAACCCGCAACAGCCCCAAGCCGAATGACATTGTCATCTGAGGCCCAGCTGGGCCTCTTCCATCCACTCCTGTGGAGTTTTGACTTCGAAGTCCTCTGCATGGTCGAAGATCTCAAGGGGAAGGTTCCGGAAGTTGTAGTGCCTCAGAGTTGTGATTCGGGTTTCGACTCTCACACTCGCACAAGGCCGGCAAGGCATCGGTTGGTAGGTCCACAAGGTCCGTCGTGACACTAAAGAAGCTACTTTGACCTCTCATCGAGTTGACTCATACTCAGGTCTCACCCTGCCGTGTCCCAAGAAAACACACCCCACAAAACTCACAAGGCTCCAACGTAGCATGGTGATGAGAATCGAGGGTGCAAAACCGGCAAAAGCTCTGCCTTTAGCCCTGGCACACCTTAAGATGTCAACAGTTGTAAACGGTCTGGCCAAGCTGCGCATCTTCCACGGCCTTCATGTACTCTAAGGTGTCCTGAGAATAGTTCCGTACATTGTTTTGGGGGGCGCAAGGTCATGGAATCACTCTTGAGGACGCATGTTGGACTGGCAGATTTGCGTGTTCTTTGGCAGCACTTGAGATGTCCGCAAGGTCGGCCAAGTATGGAAACTTGGTGTACTGCCGGATGTTGCTCAGGTGGCGCCGCAACGTGTGGAGGAGGTGGGCTGGATCTACAAAATCAACTGAGGTTCTCACCAGGGTTTTGTTGCGTAGCGTGTTCATGCAGCTCTGATGCCAAGCTCGGAAATCGAAAAGCGTATCCCACATCTTGCTTAAAAGGGCTCATGATTTAGGACCCAATTGCTGGCTTACATGCATGCGTTACACCCTTGTCACGCAAACAAAAAAGCGACGCTGGATCCTGGTTTACATCGATCGTGTGGGGGCACCTAGAATCTGTAGTTAGGGCTTTGCGGCTGCAACTTACGTAACACCCAAGCCGAGGTGCCTGTTGCATCGCTGGCACCTCTGGTGGCAGCTCTTGCGGCGGGAGGGCACGCGTCATGGTAGGCGGGTAGGCGCCTCAGAATGGGCAGCCTACAACAAAGTCTACAGTCACCTGATCGAACCCCCAAATATGCCCTTCATAAGACTACCATCGAGGCTCAGAGGGGGGCACTCAGGGTCGGCCGTAAGATTTTGAGCAGTGATTGTTTCGTTCTTTGTGCCACCACCTGACAGTGCCAGGTTTTCAGTGTGGGGCTAGGGGTTGCTTTAGTTTACGAAGTTTACGGGTTTCTTGTTGCCTTTTTGGGATGGCCCTTCAAGCGCTGACTTTTGGTCAGCACCAGCCTCTGCTAGGCTCCATGAAGCTCATCTGGGCGGAATCGGAGACGCTAGCCTGGAAAAACAGGAGGCTCTGCAGAGGCTCCGCAAAA